AAGGAACAGGACGGACGCCATTTCTGAAATAGAATGAGGGACGACTGATTCTCCAGACATACAAGTTGCCTGTGGTGAACAAGCTGACTATTCTGGAAGATGAACCTTACAACCAAACGTTGAGTGTGCTTGCCAGCGGGAGGGTGTGTGACAGGCACAACATACAAACACTTCTGTCTTCCAATCTCTTGCTACTGCTCCCTGTTCTCCTATGTCTGCTTCCTGAGGAAGCCACTTCAGACTGTTTTAAGCCCAAATCAGAGATTAGCAATGTTCTTGGCAATTTCAATGCAGTCAAGGACCACCATCGAAATGTGTACATTTTCATTAATTTGGGTCAGATTATCAGTGCTGATGCAAGTTTTTCCACTGACTGAGCCTAGAAAAGCCCAAATCAGAGATTAGCAATGTTCTTGACAATTTCAGTGCAGTCAAGGACCACCATTGAAATGTGTACATTTCCATTAATTTGGGTCAGATTATCAGTGTTTTCCCACTGACTGAGCCTAGAAAAGAAGCACCCCCCCCTTTGCAACACCCAGTAGGGAGAAGAAGAGGACAGTGTCATTCTTGTTGCCACTACCCATACAGCACATCATGCTATGTAAATAATGACTGGGCTCATGTATCTGAGCAGTGGCTAGAAAAAGGCCGGTTGGCAGAGTCCAGGTCAGGCCGCAGAGAGTGGGTGGTGGTAATAGCTCATCCACCAGTTTGGGACCCCTGACTCAGTTTGGCTGTTTGCATCATACAGTACATTAAAGCAAACACATTTTTAGTCCTCTTGTCCCTGCAGGCATGACAGAGATATTAGACATGTGAACAAAGCTGTGTTATCTGTCAGTTGACCAATTATTTGGAGTGGGTGGGGAGGAAAGCAGATTAATTTGCTAAATGTGGGTAAAGGCAAATTTGTGTCAGAATAAATAGACAATATTTTCTTCTCAAGGGAGCAGTGCTTCTAATGATCTGTTAACAGTACTGGCTCCAAATATGAGCAAGTGACAATTCATGCATAATATTGCAGTTGCTTTGTTTGTGGCATTCATAATGTTAAACATTATTGTGTATAAATGTTGTGTATAAATGTTGGAATTTTAAAATTTGGGCTGTCAGCCAATTAAAGAAATCTTAGTTAATCAATCATATGAGTTTAACTTGGTTAGGCTAATTAATACACTGGCATATGGATAAAATAAGACTTCTGAAGAAAGGCGTTTTGATGGTGGATAATGCACATGTATCATAGGAGGCAGGCATCAGGTTAAATTCTATCTGAGATAAACAACAAAATAATTATTTTAAGATGGTACTTGATATCTCCAGTTTTTGTAAATAGTCATAGTATATACGTAACTTAAATCTACTATCTGGTTAACTTGAAAAACCCTTTTAGGCACTTTAAAACTTTTACATGATTAAAGTGAGAAATCTATTTTAAAATGTTACAGCTATATATGAAATCCTGCTGAATCTGGATATCCTCTTATTTACCACCTTGTCTTCAGCCCTTGAGCACAAACATCTGAAAGATACCACTACAACAAACAGCACCAGAAAAAACAGCTTCAGAATAAAGAGGACTCTCATATAAAGCTGGCTTTGGGGAATGGCATTCGTAAGATGCACGGGAAGGTGACAAACCACACATTGCTATATAGCCCAGTCCTAGCCATGTCTTCTTGGAAATACTATGTTAAAAGAGGCAACTGTGTGTACAATTGCACCTGTGGGATGAAGCCCAACAAGACAGACCTTCTAACTCTGGTGAAAATGGTTTGGAGCTTGGACACGTTGTCCACCATGGAAAGCCATGCTTTGGAAGGCAGCAAACATAGTCCAACCATGTTCCTCTCTGCCTGGGTATCTCCCAGAAGTGGTCAAACTCTTCCTTTCTTACCTTCGATACTTGAAGGGGCCTTTTCTGTTCAGAGCCGCCCTGGAGCCGGAAGCCCCACGGGGCCCCTCCAGAGAGAGTGACAACCACCTCTTCTTCAGCAACCATGATATCAGCGTGTTTTCTTTCTTTTGGTGACAAATGTCCTCTCCTTAAATTAAACCTCCAGCTCTTAAGGAATGATGTTTCCTGCTTTCATTGCTGCAAGTGGCATTTGTCTTCTGAGGTCCACCCTGAAACTCCTTTCTCCTGTCTCCTCTCCACCTGGTGCTCATGCATAAGAGAGTTCAGTCCAGCAAGACCCACACGCCATAGTCTTCCAGACCTCCAGCTGCTTGAACAGACTACTGCCAGCCGTTTTGATTCCACTTTTGGTAAGCGGCCAGTGTCATTTGGCACATGGAGCTTGTCAATCTCACCCTCTGAGTGCCTCCACCTCCTGGCCAGCAATAGATCCTGGATCTCTCACTAAAGCATGGTTATAAATAGCCCACCTCCTGTCTCTTTCCAGAGCTTTGTCTCACACTTTTCCAGCTGGAGAGGATTTAATTTAAGCACTGCAATAAAGCATGGAATTCCTGTAGGCTTTCCCTTCTTGTATTCTCGTCAGAGAACCTCCAGTTTCCGTTGTCACCTCAATTAAAGCAAACTCAATTTCTTCAAAGTAAAATAATGAGCGTAACTGGTCAGCATAGGATATTTAGAAATCAATGAAAGTTGCCAGTCATTATTTCCATAGAAGTTGGTGCAGGAGACTTTTCCATTGGACTATCCTCCAAGGGTTAAAAAGAAATCCTGCTATCAAAATTTAAAGCTATCAATGCCTGGATTAGAGTCTTCTGTGAGTAATAACAGAGAAATAAGTAAAATAGTGATGTAATAAAATCCTAGTTTACCTCAATTAAAATTAGAACAATAGATAATGTATATGGGAAAGGGAATAGGTAACACCAAGCTGATATTTGACAGATTTCTTAATAATGATTGGATGAAATGCCAGAGATAAATGTTGGGGGGGGGGGAGAGGAGAAGCTGGAAAACAGTACCCCGCCTCCAACATGCAAACTTGGGAGTGTAGATTAGAAACTCCTGAAACATGAGCCCACACTGCAAATGGTGTGACAGTAGCTCTTCAACCACTTAGCCACAGGGATCAGGCAAATAATAGGCAATGGTGGCCTAAGGTCTGAGCAACGTTAGTGGTGCCTCATGCCACTCTCATGGAGTGAGGCTCTCCCTCTACTTTTCCAGACCACATGCTGCATAGGATCATGGGGCATTGTTCTCCTCGGCTCCAATTCCAGTAGATGCTAGGAGCACTGTCCAAGAGGAATTTAGCCTTGTAGCCAAGGTGAGGCAAATGGATGCAGCGCCCCCCTAGGGCTGTGCAGTCCCTCTGGTTCTTTTAATTTTTTTGGAGGGGTCAGATAATTTTCTTTTTAATCTTTGATGAACAATGACAGCATCTATTTAAAGAATCAACGCCCATTTTAAGAACAGGAGCAATTTGGTATAAGCAACTCTGTAAAAATTCAATGACTAAGGAAGGGGAAGTGGCCAAGAATATCCTGTTCTAGAAAAGCCCTCAAGTCATGCTCATTCAGGATTTCCCCTAACAATCATCCTAATTACTTAGCTGGTTCTGAAAAAAACCCAGCATGTGTAGTAATGGAATCCTTGAAGTGTTAAATATTAGAACACTATGTTAAGACAAGAATTAGATTCCACTCAATGGACTTTCTTTTGCTCTGCTTTTCAGTTGAATTTTCAGTTGTATTCTCAATCCAACTACGAAAATATAAATGTCTGCCTGAAGATGTAAGAAGTAATAAAAGTGTATACCTTTTATTTAGTAATTGATGGTAATGAATGAAAACAACTCTACAGGGACAGAAACACTGCTGTGTACATTGGAGTTAGCTGACTGGTCACCTGGACTATATGTGGCCTCTGGAGGATTTCTATGCAGAAAAATAAACACAGTAACCAAAGGTTTGTGGGTTTTTTAAAACACTTTTCACAATTAGTTTCCAATTACCAGTACTTACTTCTTTCTATACTAAATTTAATTATGCACCATCAAGTTGATTCCAAGTTAGGGCAATTCTTTTTACAGTTCCCAAGGTATAAAGTACTGCGGGGAAACTGATTTACCAGCCCTTTCTTTTGGTGGTGCTCTAAGACCATGCAGATAGCCAAAGGCTACATAGGCTGGCTCTTCTGAGAGGCATAGTGGGGAATCAAGCTCCTGACACCAGACTTTGCAGTCAGGTACTATGTGGGACATGGGTGGCACTGCAGGTTAAACCGCAAAGCCTCTGGGCTGCAAGGTCAAAAGATCAGCAGTTCAAATCCACACGACAGAGTCAGCTCCTGTAGCTTTGTCCCAGCTCCTGCCAACCTAGCAGTTTAAAAGCATGTAAAAATGTGAGTAGATAAATAGGTACCACCACGGTGGGAGGGTAACAGCGTTCCGTGTCTAGTTGCGCTGGCCACGTGACCAGGGAAACTGTCTTTGGACAAATGCTGGCTCTATGGTTTGGAAATAGGGATGATCACTGCCTCCTGCAGTCGGACACGACTGGATTAAATGTCAAGGGGAACCTTTACCTTTACTCCAGTTTACTGGGCTCTCAAGTCAGTACTTATTTACATAGCAAAAAGTTTAAACATTTATCTTGATTGTCCTTGCTCAAGGACTCCCAAAATCTATCCATAGACCCCATACAGATTCATAGACTATTGTTAAGAACCCCTGCAGCAGAGATGCAGAGTGAAAATATTGCTTTAGGAATTTGGTTTGTGAAAAATGACAATTTTATTAATCTTTGCTATGCACAATAATTGCCATTACTTTGGATCCTGCATCGTCTAGGCCAGTGATGGCGAACCTATGGCACACGTGCCACAGCTGGCACACAGAGCCCTCTCTGTGGGCTCAAAAGCCATAAGTTGCCATAGAGAAATACTTACCCATCCTCCAATCCCGGATTTCGGTACTCCCCTCTGCTGGTGCAGTGGTCCAGCGGAGGGGTGCAATGGCAACCATGACCAGTCTAGCCCAATGGGGGATTGGAGGACCAGTAAGTATTTATTTGTTAATACTGCCCATAGCAAGCAAACAAACAAACAAACAAGCACTTAACCCTTGCAGTGCAGGAGCTGTTGTTTTTTCTAAACTAAAACTTCAGTATTCAGGTTTTAATTGCAGTACTGGCACCCTGAAATAAATAATTTGATTTTGTGTTGCAGTTTGGGCACTTGGGGTCAAAAAGGTTCACCATCACTGCACTAGGCACTCAGAGGCAGCCACTATCCTCAAGCAGCAAATTTTGCAGTACCAATGTATTCTTGCCATCTCTCCATGGCATGGATCCTCATGAATTTTAATGTACGCTCATCTCCAGATCATTGCCCATCTCCATTTCCTTGGTTGTGGCACTTTCGTGAGAGGTTGGACTGTAAGCTTCTTTGTAGTGGCATATTTTCTCCCCACCTGTACTCTGCAAGGAGCTGTCCTTGGAGTGCTCATGGTGTTGATGATGAAGATGAGGCTTGCCAGGTCTCAGAGAATGAGCTGCTGTGCCAGGAAATGGCTGGGCTCCCCTGAATATCCAGGCCAGGCAAACAAATGTGAGGAGCAGTGGTGGAAGGGAAGGAGCGAGTCTTGTTTATTGTTACGGGGCGGCCATAGTGTTTGGGTACCCAACTCCAACCTTCCCCAAATGGCACCAGGGCTCACTGGCTTCCTGTGTTTGTCCAACACGACATATAATATGCTTGCTTAGGAGCTCAGAGAGGGAACCCACAATGCCTAGCTCACTCCCTCACACATGCATGGAGAAATATTATGTTCGCAATTCCTGTGACATCACAAGGCCTCACGCCATGACTTCACAAAGACCTATCCCAGGCATAGGGCCCCAGATATAATGAGGGGATGGGGAAGATAATCCCATGACAGCCCCTGACAAACAAGACAACACTTCAAAACCATTCTGGAAAAATCCTTTTATTGGTTTTGGAAAAGAGGCAAAACGGGTATCCTCAGCAGAGAGGAAGGCCTGGTTCAGCTCCAGCAGGACACCTGCCTTCTGGTCCCTCGCATCCCCCTGGGGAAGAGGAAGCTTCGGGCCCTGCAAGAGAAAGAGAGAGAAAAAAAAGCAACTAGGGGGTGAGCTCGTCCACGGCCGTCAACCTGCTTCAACCCAGGCGTATCCACCGACCGATGTTCTTGCAACTTCATCCCGAAGTTCCGCCTGCCAACATCCACTGGCTTCCACCAGGAATATCCACCCGTTCATCTCTTCCACTCCGCTTCTGAAGCCAGCCTCCACCAGCTCCCAAATGTCCCGGCGACATATCCACGGAACGCCAGCCAGCCCATTCACAAACACATTGATACACACACAGGCACAAACCAGCTGCTCCTCCCAACACACACACACCTTCACTCCACCAGCCATTCACACACACGCCAAGGCTTCCATCCACCGATATCCAGCAAGCTTCCCCAAGCTGGTTTGAGGAGGCTAACGTCCACCACCGGCTTCATCCGCCCACCTCTGCCGGCCTCCGCCTTGCAGCCTCAGCCAGCTTCCGCAGGGAGATTCCACCAGCTTCTGTCTGCCAACGTCCACCGATTCCCCCCCCCAGTCCATCACCGCCATCAGCCAGCTTCAAGCCACGGATCTCCACCAGCCTCGAGCTGTTAACTTGCAAGCCCGCATAGAAAGTTCCTCTGCTTTCTGGAGAGAACTTGCCTTGGGCAGAAGGGCTGGGTCCCCTCCAGCAGCTGGCGCCCCCTCTGCCACACTGCCCTCTGGACACTGGCCTCCCTTCTGGTCCCCTGCCCTGCCCAGCAAGCCCCTTTTATCTGCCAGCAGAGAGGTGGGGCCCCTGTGAGGTCACAAAGACCCAGGAGAAAAGGGGTTGGGTTACCATGGCAGCAGCACCTTCAGGATTGGCTGAGTCCTGAAGATGATGTCAGCAGTCCCTCTGATCATGTGATTCAATTCATTCCCCCTTGTGCATCCCAGAAGAGCCAGCCTGTGTGGCCTTGGGCAAGCTGCACAATCCCAGGATGTCCCCAAAAACAGGGAATGGTAAATCACTTTTGAGTACTCTCTACCACTTTTGAGTACTCTCTACCTGAATAAAGGGTCACCATACATCAGAATTGATTTGACAGAAAAGGGAGAGCATAAGCTCCAATTTGACAGAAGCTTGAAAGAAAAGTCCCATATGTTCATTGCCGTAATTGCAGTCCCCATCTGCAGTCTTTGTCTGTTGAAAATGAAGATGATATAAAAACCTGCCAAGAAGTATTTTCATCCATATGCTACGTTTAATACATTTTTAAGCATGAAAAGTTGCACATTTGTGTGAAAGATAAAGCCTGCCTTGCTTTTTGGAACCTTGTCAGGTCGTTGGAACATTGCTGTAATTGTAGAAACATTGGCTAAAATTCAGTAATGTAAAATTACAG